AAAAATTCTGAATGAGTTCTAGGGAATAACTGTTTTTAGAAGAGCATTTCTCTTTGGGGGAAGGGATAATATGTAAGTGCCTCAGTAGATTTCCACTGTAAATATGTAGTTAAACACGTGGTTCAACGATGAGCCACATGCTTCTAATTTTGAACTTTATTATTTTTTTCTTTTGTTAAAAACTTACTTTAGACGATAACAAATACGTTTTCAGCTTTTTCTTGCAAATCAAAATTTAATCTCATTTGAATCATATAGTCCAAAAGATTTCTGGATAGATTTTGGCTATAAATATGCTGTTAGAAACGTGGCTTAAATTTGAGCCACGTTCTTTTAATTTTATTTCTTCATTTGCTTTTGCTAAAATTTGCCTTAGAAGATAATAAATTATTTCCAGTTCTTTCTTGCAAATGAAAATTTTTTGTTAAAACGAATCATAATCTGATTATATTATAGTCAAGAACCTTTTTCAAAATGTTTCCGCAATAAATATGTAGTAGACGCATTGTTCAAATTTGAGTCATGTGCATGCAATTTTAAATTTTTTTCCCTTTTGTTCAAGTTTTACTTTAGGATATAACAAATATGTTTTCAGTGCTTCTAATTTTCATTTTTACTTCTTTTTTTTCTCGAATTCTGTATTCAGAGAAATTTCAGGCAGATATACTTCGAATGGCAGTATTATAATCACAACTTTGAAGTTATTTTGAAGTAATTCCATTATATTGTAGAGACATTAGGTATTCTTGAAAGCAGGGAAGATGAAAAAAAAAATCTGATCTGTACACCACATGACTTACTTGCACGGAATATTAAATTATACGCATTTTTCCTTGTATTTCATATAAACTTATATTGGAATGAATTAAATCTACATCGTCGATAGCGCATAAACCACAATAGAATGAATGCACATTTTAAATTTCACTATCACACTCTGGCGCTAGGTTCACTTAACAATGTTACATTTCGTCCATATTGTAATTCAGAATGCATATAAATTTATGTCATTTGAAGAATTATCTAATCGTTGCCACATGTTTATTCAAATACTATAATAAATCTAAATCGAAGTATAAAAGAAATTAAGCAAACAAAACAAAAAAGAAACAGTTTTTCACAGACGATTCAGTATTTATCATTCAATTACTTCCCGACAAGGCAAAAATACATAAAAATTTAGGAACCACTTATTTCCTCGAATAAATTCCGGAATGGAATAAGCATTAATTCGCAATAATAAAAGAAAGAGTTATCGTTGTTGTTGCGAAGCTCAGTTTCTCTAGATTGGCAACAAATCCGCCATTTTGCAAAGTTTAAAATGTAAACAAACATGTCCACCATCGCAAAATTCGCTAGGCTTAGCTGCAATTAAACAACTTTTAAATTGTTGATAACTCCACAAATAGTGCATGCATATTTAGTAAAGGCATAAAAACCTTAACCGGAAGATAAGAACAACATAATTCAATCATTTTTAAAGCCAAAAAATGCACAATTTACAAACATATAACAATAAAAAAACTGAGCTCGCTGAGCCGAGTAACAGAGTGGATATATAGTATATATACATATATTTATATACTTTTGGTGTAGCTGATTGCAACCATAATGGGAGGTGACATATAAATGTTATAGCAGTCCTACATACAAAATTTCAACGTTCTGAGGCCACTCGTATTTGAGTTATACGAGATACGTACGTACGCACAGACGCCACGAAAAATTCCCTTCAGAATTCATTTTAAATCAGCTTTTTTTGGGAAAAAGAGTCCTTTATTCTGTCCTTACTTGCGAATGTCACTCAAAAACATCAATAAATTGAAATTTTGAAAGTAGGCAACATGAAAAATTAGCAACGCCTTCGCCTTAAATCGAACAGGGACCTCTCGATTACCGCTGAGCGTGCAGACCACTACACCACAAAGGTTAGCTGGGAAGGCGGAAGAACAACTAATAAAATATATATATTCAAAAAAGTAATTAAAAGTCAATTAAAAAGCCTATGACTTGCGTCAAAGTTGCAAACTAATAACCTAACAATTCATAATAATTTATAAGAAGAAAACTTTCATATACCATCTCCAAGGAACACAAATTCAATTTAAAACCATGAAGGAAGAAATTTTTTTGTCAGAATTTAAAGTAGTTAAACAAGTTGAATTGCTATTTAAAATACTAATTTAAATTCTGGCTACAATTTTTTTTTCAGTCATGGTTTTAAATTAAATTTGTGGTACTTGGATATGGTATATGGAAAGTTTTCTTATTATAAAAATACATATATATATATATAAGTACTTCATAAATCGTTTCCTGTAAGTCCGTATAGGAAGTATACATAATCTTTGAACTTCAGTTAACACAAGGGTATGAACTAACATTCGAATATAAAATTATTAAAGTAGTAATAAATTACATTAAAGATGTATTCATAAGCATAGAGGAATGTTTTAAATTAATTTTGGAAACGTACTAAAAGAAGCACGGGTAATGAAACATAACATGACATAAGATAGCAATTTTTCCTATTTGCCCACTTTGTGATTCTGGAGGAGTAATGGACAGGCGCCACCTGCTTGAATGTGAGGCTCTTCGTGGTCCTACAGAAGAGTCGAAATACTGGGAGGCCAGAACGATCTTTAGGCAATGATTTCGGTCTTTATGTTCTTAGTTCTATTGTTTGTAACCTCTGTTTATAAGATTTTAGTTTTTTGTAACTTCTTGGCCAGCCACTGGAAAAAAAAAAATGATAGCAATATTTTTCTTCCCTGGGAAGAAAAATATTGCTATCATTTTTTTTAGTAACGCATTAGTAACGTAAGCCTCCTTTGATATCTTTCATTCTTTTGCCTTTTCTTTGTAGACTTTAAAGAATTGTATTTATTGTTTTTCACTAGAAAAGATTATTTTTCACTTACCATAAACTGAAATTCATTTCTCAAATTATTTTGCATTGCAGGATTTAAAAGATCTCGCCGTCGCAATGCGGCAAGTGATGGAGAACGAGGATAGTGAAGCTATTGTATATATTTTAAGAAGAGGATACTATGAGGAATATATATTTCCTGGGGCTACAAATGATCCTGCTGGAACACCTTACGTGAATTTACCCCAGCTGTTGCGTGCCACTGGAACAGGTAATTTTATAAGAAAATATATTATCTCATTAAAATACGGCTTTATTGTAAACGTGTATTAATTTATAAACTGACTGATGAATCGCAAAGAGATTTAAGTGAATAATCATTCTAATTTAAAAACATTATATTAAGGAGTTAATAGTAATTATTATAGTAATAATAATACTTAATAATTACAGTTAACTCCTGCAGTTATTAATTTTTTATAATTAATTATTCTTCTATAGTTTTTATAGTTTCACTAGGAACTAATAATTTTACACGATAAATCGCGCTTTTATGAACGCTTTCCAGAAGCACGTTTATAAGCATTATCAGCCATTTTACGGAGCAGTGCACAGTAAGATAATAAAATGCTTTAAAAACTTACAATTATATTTAAATTTACCCTCAAACTGTTCTAAAATCACAACTGAATGATCATAAGTGACGGAAATAACAAGTGGAGTGATATTAAACACTACTAAAATATAATGAAATGAAAGGAAAAAAGAGCAATAAAAATAAATTCATTGGCCATTGTCTAAAGCATTTATCCAAATAATGTCAGACTGCTGCTTGCATGAATGATGAGCCATTTCAGTATTAAAAAATATTGGAATTCTTCAGTATCTTGAAAATTTTAATTAAAATATATAGTTAAGCGTTTTAAAAAAGAATTTGCACATATTAATTTTATTAGTGCCTAATAAAATATTAATAAAAAAGAACTATTTTTCCATTTATATAAACATAGACCAGCAGCGCCGCTTCTTTTTACGTTTGAAGTCTGTACACTTTATTTTCAGAAGAGAGTTTTAGAGTTTATCTACCTTAAATTTTGAAGCAATCGCTTTGAATAAAAAGTATTCTGGAAGAATTTAAAATATTTGAAATGCTGCTCGACTAAATTTGGCAAATTTTATTGAAAAAATAAATTTTAACGTTCAAGAGCCTAAAGTATTTGCTTCTTTAACTAAATATTATTTATACTGCTTAAAACTGTATGGCTCCATTTTTAAAAACTTGTATTCTTAAATTTATTTTCCGTTACGCATAGGTTTGTTTTCATTATTAAATAAGGCCTCTCTTCTTTTTATGTTATTATATGAGACAGATATTATGTCAGAATTTTTTTATAACTTCTATTACTAATTAATGGGTAAATGTGATTCAAGATGATAGCTTATATGAAGAATCATGTTTTAGTAATTATGGAAAAACGATATGACACTGACATCGAACTGATTTTTGTTTAGTGGTATAGTTCCGGTTTTAATTAAGAGATTCCCCTTTTTTCATCACGTATTCCGGTCTTCTGGTATATCAGAGAATTTATCGATTTTTAACTTTTAGCGAGGAAAATGTTTTGCAGCAATAGAAGAAATTTATCGACTTAATGAAACTTAGCTGGGCAAATTTCATTCCTCCATTCTTAGTGATTTTAAAGATAATTTTTCTTATTTAATTTTATTTGATCTGATTTGTCTTAATATTCTGTACACATTTGTGGAACTTCAAACTTTGGAAAAGATTTTTGGGAATGAAGATTTGTTTAATCAGAAGAGGTCATACTTCCCTTAAACCATCAAAATTTTTGATTTTTTGAAAAAAATATATGTTATAGCCTGTTTCTTTCTGCGCAGTTTAAAAAGAACTCCAAGCAAAAATTCGTACAATTTCATGAGTTATGAAGGAAAATGTACCAGCTGAACTAATATAAAACAAGATTTAAAGGTCCAAGCGAAAAGCGTCAGCAGTTTCTACTCGAAGTGTTATGTGGCAAGCCTAATGATTTATTTTTTAATGATCTATTTATGGAGTAGCAATGTTATTTCTCAACTCTTCGGTAGTTTGTTTACATTCTTAACCGTTTTATTTTTATTGCTCTTTTTTCCTTTCATTTCATTATATTTTAGTAGTGTTTCATATCACTCCACTTGTAATTTCCGTCACTTATGATCATTCAGTTGTGATTTTAGAACAGTTTGTGGGTGAATTTAAATATAATTGTAAGTTTTTAAAGCATTTTATTATCTTACTGTGCACTGCTCCGTAAAATGGCTGATAATGCTTATAAACGTGCTTCTGGAAAGCGTTCAAAAAAGCACCGATTTCATGGAAACCAGTTCACCAGAACTGGTAAATCGACAGTTTTAAATGAAATAAATAATGGATTTTTATTTCTTCCCCAAACCAAGCTGTTATTTGTGAAACTACAGCTGCACATAGTTCCCTGGAAATTCAGATGAACTAAATACAAGTCTACTTGTAAAAGTTAAATGTAACAGACATTGATTTTTCAAGTGAAAGCAATCGATTTGATGGCAACATGATTGTCGATAAAAAATATTCTGTGTTCTTTTTTGGAAGAAAACACTGTGTGTAAGGTATGCCATGGTAAATTAAAATTTTACTGCGAAAAGATCTGCAGGTCTGTGTTCCAGAATGATCTTGACATGTCAAGGATGCAAAAATGTTGTGATGACAAGCAACACTAACTAAACTGTTGGGGAGAAAAAGGAACATTGCAGAAATTAATCGTCGTATTATTTATGCAATGCGTTGTATTGGTCAAGGTCTTGAACCATTGAAAACATTTTGTGCAATAATGGATTTAGATCCTCCTGTGATTCAAAAAACGTTATGACAGAATCTGTAACTTAATCAATAATGCAACAAAAATGACTGCAATTGAAAGCATGAAAAATGCAGCAGCAGAAGAAGTATCACTCAGTAATTTTACAGACATAAGTGTAAGTGGTGATGGCACCTGGAAAACAATAGGCCATACATCTCAGATTGGTGTATGTACGGTTATTGGTGCTGAGAGTAGAAAAGTTATCGACGTAGAGGTTTTATCCGTAGCATGTAAAGGATGCGAATTGTGGAAGGGTCCTCGATCTGGTGAAGCCTTTGAGAGTGGCAGAAAACCCATTCTCGCACTTGCAGAAGAGAAATCATTTCGGTTCATCTGCCAAAATGGAAGCAATGGAAGCAAAATGGAAGAAATAGGTTAAAATTTCTCAGAGGTCTTCAAAGTGCAAGGGGTGTGAGATACATCAATTATATTGGTGATGTTGATTCAAAAACATTTCTTTCCATAACAGAAAGCAAACCATATGAAGGTGTGACTGTGTCAAAACTAGAGTGTGTAGGGCACATCCAGAAGAGGATGAGCACTTGCTTACGTAAACTGAAAGCTGATTATAAGGGACGAAAGCTTTTAGATAACAAAAGTCTATCTGGAAAAGGTCGACTTACAGATAGTGGAATCAGCCAACTGTCATTGTATTATGGAAATGCAATTCACCAACATGCAGATTCACTGAAAGATATGCGAAATGCTATCTGGGCTTTGTATTTTCATACTCGATCACATACTTTTTGTCCAACTGGTGAGTCCTCATGGTGCAAGTACCAAATTGCTTTGGCGAAAGGGGTTGTGAATGATTTTCGCCATAAAGAAACCTTACCACTGGCAGTCATGGATGTGATCAAACCAGTTTTCAACTCGCTGTCGCATCCAGACCTCCTAAAACGCTGTCTTGGAGCTCATACTCAAAATCCAAATGAGTCACCCTGAACTCCTTGATTTGGCAGAATATGTCCAAAGACATCTGGTTAGTGGCAGAATCATCTCAGAAATAGCAGTTTATGAAGCAGTTACTCTTTTTTAATGATGGTAGGAAAGGGTAGATTATCTACTCTGAGATACCTGAATATATACTCTGGAATTAATTGTATTACTGCACAATTCAGGAGTGACTATAAACGTGTAACTTCTTCGAAGAAAAACGAGTAATAGCTCGTACGATTGATGCTCGTTCGCGCCAAGCGTCATGCAAAACTGCATGAAATTAAAAGACTCATAAAGCTGAAGGAGTAACATGCCTTTCAGGAGCATTTTAATGCTAATAGTGTGTGTATAATTATATATGATGAATCTGTATTGATATATTTTGTGCATTTTTGCTATTCGGTGTAATTTTTCACATCACGACATGAATTGTCGTGTTAGTGTGAATGTTGTGTAAACAGTTGAGATTTTCTATCAATCAAAATAAGTAAAGAAAACCATATCAGGTGATAAGTTTTTTCATTTTATATAAAATTAAGGTGGCAATAATAATGGTTATTAGGTAATATGTTGTGAAAAAACTTTAAAGTCATTTTTCTCAAAACATTTTTCATTATTGCGCGCATCATAACAATTGAAAGATTCAATATATTCTAATGAAAGTTGTATCACAGATACAATATGTAATTTGCTACAACCTGAACTAAAATTTGCAATTTCCATTTATATTTTGTTATTTTTCTGCATTCTCAAAGTAATAAAAGTATGCTATTTTCAGTAACATAAAATCACTGTTTTTAAAAAATATAAACTTTATATATATTTAAAATTTTAAAGTTTCAAAATTATAATAAGACTATAATAAATATATTACAGGTGAAAATATTTTGAAAAAGCCTATAATTTAAGAGTAATCTTGCGTGGAAGCTGATATTACATTTTCAGATTACATAAAGTGCCATATAGTTTTCAGCATTATTAAATAATTTTTTTTTTCTATTTTATAAGCTTAGTCACATTTTCAGATAGAGTAGTATTTTAAGTGTCTTCTGTAAAAAATTTATTTGTTTCCTGTTTATATATTATGAGATACAGTAGTTTGAAATGGTCCAATTTACTCGACGTTTTAGCATTTTAAGGGAGGTCAGTAGATGTTCATAATTCATATTGTTTCACATCAATATAGGGAATATTACGAAGTATATTCACACAATAGTATGTAGTCATCAAAAAAGGAAGGGGAACAGTTCTATATCTCTCGTTCTACACGGCCCAAGAAACAAAATTCAATTTGCTTTTTTCATAGCTTAAAAGCGTGACTTACAACCTCTATTACATACTTATACATAGCCTTGTTTTAAGATACGTAGTTTATCATAAAATCGGAGTTTCTGAAATGACATGCCAAGTTTTTTTTTCCATATTTCGAATTTAAGATTCAAATTATAGCTAAAAACAAAATTTTGTAAAATTTAGAGTGAAATTTAATCAGTAATTCGGAAATTTACCCTAGGTGTTCTTTTTTTACTCTGTGCCAAGAGGAGTTTACTTTGTGAGTTTCCGAGTTTATGACAGCCTATTTCAATTTCTCTTTCATTCTGCGCAAGCAGAAAAAGAGTATTGCTTTTTCATTTTTGCATATAGTCTTATTTCATATTAAAATTTTTAATCACAATTGTTATTTTTAGACATATGTTTCGTTTTCCGAATTTCATTTTAACTGTATTAAATTAAGCTGCGTGGTTGAATTATAGTTCTTCAAATAGTTATTTTAAACATTTCCATTTATTATTTCATACCGTGTACTTTAAACATATGTATTCATATAAATGTTTTTAAACTTGATTTTATTTATCTGAATAACATTTCTTTGCCACCAAGTATTGGTCAAGATGTATTCTGCATTGAAAGAGAAAATGTTCTAAAGGACCGATATGCGTCTTTCAATGGGCTGTTAAGAAAAGATAGTATATAAATGCGAAAGTTACATTGTTTCATTTTTTAAAGCGCAAAAATAAAATAACATTAAAATGAAAACTGAATTTTATGCAAATAAATAAAAATAATTAAACAAATATTTATTGTCTTAGTGCTTTAAAGTTTTCTTCTTAATGGCTAATTAATTGTCTCAAGATAACCTTTAATGATTTTCTTCAAGGCATTCTGCAGATGTATCCGGAGTCATTCTCTCATATTTATTCGTTATGTACCATATTCACTATTGAAATACTTTGTTTTCTGCAACATTTTTAGCTTTGTGTGTACTTAAGTTGAAAGTTTTGAATCTTTAGCTGAGACAGCTTCTGACAGTCGTATATTGCTGGGAGTATTTTTAACCAGTTCTGTTTAGAAATTATATGCCGGTTTAGTTGTCTTGTTAGCCATTGTTTTAAATACACTCCGTTACATTATATGAGACATCTTATTCTAATTAATGTGTAACGCTTCTTTCGGTCTTTCTCTCGTACTGAATTACAGGAACAAAAAGTGAATACAATAATAACAAACGTAAATGCACATTCATTTGCACTTCTACTTGATATTTAAAAACTAACGTGCTAAGAAAACTGATGTTTTTGCCTGAGACTATAATAATACTTTGATATTTGCAAATCAAATAGTAAATTAAAATCTGTAGAGTTGCAATTATAAGAGAAAACTAGAGTAAAAATCATGAAGACCATACCAGACAGATAGTGAGTTAACGCTACGTCTTGAACAACTCGCAAATTGCAGGAGAAATTTAAAAAGTTTTTTTTTTTTTTTTTTTTTACTTCAGCTTGAACATAAAGTCACAACTTGTATGTATTTTAAATTAAGAGAACAAACAATTAAATTCGAACATTGCTAACATAATCTAACACAACATATTAAATAGGACAAGCTGACGCATATATTTTACTGGCTCGTATTTAAAGCATGAGTTAGCGTGAATGCTAAAGCCGGAATATCATTTTAAACAAAGCTGGCAAAATCCTAACAGTAAGATACATCTGCCAGAAGCGATCGCAACTAAAGATTCAAAACCCTTAACTTAAATATACATAAAGCTAATTTGCATTCCAAGAGGAATACAGAAATGAGGATGTATAGTATTAATTAACATTAGATACTAGTGATCGAATTTAATCCGATCTCTTAATTTAATTTGCTAAGAAATTTTACGCTCTCGTTAAGTTCGCAGTCTAACAGTCTGATATTACACTCACCACTATATTGACACACTTTTTTTAAAATCTTTTTAACTTTATCATTAAGCATTATTTTCTTGGCATTTACTCCACTTACAATTCAACAGCAAAACTAAAAAAAAAAATTAAAAGCAGTATAGGTATAGAATTCCCGATGTAGCGTTAAATATTGGCATACATTTTCCTGTTTTTTTCATTCTTTTCTCAATTCATCATATTAATGATAAATTTATTATTAAGA